CAACAGCATTGGACAAACCAGATGCATTGTTTTTTAGTCTTACAGCAAAACTGCTAATTTACAACAGTTGTCCATAAGGCGTTCTTGTAGCTCAAACACTAAGGTGATGGGTTTGATTCCAGGGCAGTGGTTCTCAAACTTTTTCAGGAGGAGGCCCCCTTGTGTAGGGTGAATCATTTTGTGGCCCCCCAAAAGAAAACTCATAACGAAAACATCCTCAAACGTACAATTTTACTTACAAATTTTAGATTGTACCAAAAACAAATGAATTTGTACAATGCTGGAACAACAGTTCTGTTTGTAGCTTTATGTCTTTGAATATACAAAATTAGTTAAATTGTACATTTCATTAAATATAACAATTTTTTATAAAAAATGGTTTTGACAGTTAACAGTAACATTGTCTGAAAAGTGCAACAAAAGTATTGAATACTGAACATTTGTGATGTTCATAGTAAAAGATGAACACTGAAAAATTAATTTGCTGATTGTCAAAAAGTGCATTAAACTTCTTACATTTTAAGGTAGTAAATGACAGTGGCTCAAGTTTGGTTTGCAATTTTGAACAGCAATCTGTTTTTTCAGCAAGAAACAAAAAAAAATCTACTCTACTTAAAGAAATAGTTTTTCAATATAGAAGACATACAATTTTATACAAGTTTTACTATATAAAAGAAATCATGCAATGCAGATTTCACATAGGACAATACAAACAGGGGGCCAGGGGGCCACGGCCCCCAGTTTGAGAACCGCTGTTCCAGGGAATGCATGAGTTTGGATATACTTTACATTTTTTTTTTTTTTTTTTTATAAATTTGTCTGCGCCTTTTAGTCTAATTCCAAAATGTCCACTTTCAGGCCGTGTCTTTTTTACTATAAAATCATTACTGATTTTTTTTATAAGGTACTAGAAATGTAAGAATAGATGTTATATTAGTAATATTTTAAAATGAACACTTACTGGACTGAAGCAATCAGGCTTTCTCTTAATCATCAATATAATTTAGCTTCCCAAAAGCAATAAATTGGGCGATTTTTCTGACTATTATTTCATACACTCACCTAAAGGATTATTAGGAACCCCATACTAATACTGTGTTTGACCCCCGGCCCTTTTCGCCTTAATTCTACGTGGCATTGACTCAACAAGGTGCTGAAAGCATTCTTAAGAAATGTTGGCCCATATTGATAGGATCGCATCTTGCAGTTGATGGAGATTTGTGGGCACGAAGCTCCCGTTCCACCACATCCCAAAGATGCTCTATTGGGTTGAGATCTGGTGACTGTGGCGGCCATTTTAGTACAGTCAACTCATTGACATGTTCAAGAAACCAATTTGAAATGATTGGAGCTTTGTGACATTGCTGGAAGTATCCATCAGAGGATGGGGACATGGTGGCCATGAAGGGATGGACATGGGCAGAAACAAGCTCAGGTAGGCTGTTGCCCAATTTGCACTAAGGGGCCTAAAGTGTGCCAAGAAAACATCCATTACACCACCACCACCAGCCTGCACAGTGGGAACAAGGCATGATGGATCCATGTTCTCATTCTGACTCTACCATCTGAATGTCTCAACAGAAATCGAGACTCATCAGACCAGGCGACATTTCTCCAGTCTTCAATTTTGGCGAGCTCTTGCAAATTGTCGCCTCTTTTTCAGCTTGAATCAGTCGGCCCGTTCTCCTTTCGCATTTTCGCCCACAGGACTGCCATCGCATACTGGATGTTTTTCCCTTTTCACACCATTCTTTGTAAACCCTAGAAATGGTTGTGTGTGAAAATCCCAGTAACTGAGCAGATTGTCAAACACTCAGACACCAACAACCATGCCACGCTCAAAATCGCTTAAATCCCCTTTCTTTCCTATTCTGACGTTCAGTTTGGAGTTCAGGAGATTGTCTTGACCAGGACCACACCCCTAAATGCATTGAAGACACTGCCGTGTGATTGGTTGATTAGATAATTGCATTAATGAGAAATAATCCTTCAGGTGAGTGTATATGTCAGCGTTAAACAGGCCTGTTTTATAAGAGACTTTCAGCAGTGGTGTTGTGTTACCACCTGCTGGTGTGTGTGCATTATAGTCGACTACACAGATCACAGCATATGACGTGAATTTCCAAATGAACAGCCAACACTGGTGGATCACAGACGAGCATTGTCTTAATCACATGCATCTTTCTGGTCCAAAACCAAATCTGTGTGCATGAAAGTGCCAGAACGGTCATATCTGTGAACTCTACCACACTTTGACCACCAGTCAAAGTGTGTGTGTGTCTTCCATCATTAGCAAACAGTAGTGAGTCATCTGCCCTCTCTCTTTCTCTCATGTGCTCAGAGTCTTGGCATGTGCTACTCGGCACATTCTCCTGTCAACAGTTTTATACCCACCGCAGACGTCATGGGGGTGCGGACCGGCCCGACCTGACCCGGCTCATGAAGTTTATGAGTGAGAGGTGTTATTGTGCCATGGATGACTCAATGCATTCAAATCTCTGGATTACAAATGCTCATAAGCTCATTCTTTTGTCTGAGCTGCACTAGAGCCCTTAGTGACTCTTCCTGGTTGTATTGTAATGATTTATTGATGCTTGTTATTTTTTTTTATATACATGTCAACACGTTATCATACAAGTTTGCTAAGAAGTATTTCCCACTTAAGCAAGGCTGTATTTGACTCTGGTTAGCAAATCCATAGACGACTGGTGGGAGTGGCCTTGGACAGCTAAATGCCCAGTGCATTATGGGTGTTGACGTTTTCCTATTTGGCTAAAGGAAAGACAACATGTTTTTTTCCTTGTTTTCTCTGGTCAGGTAGCACCGATTTCAAAACTTTCTCCGCTTTCTAGTGTATAGGCAAAACATTTTTTTTTTTGTTCTGCTAAAACCCTAAGATCAATATCAATAATACTTAATAAAGTTTATTAACACAAAAACAATTTCTTCTTGTATAAAAAGCAAAAAAAAAAAAAAAAAAAAAAGGTTACAGTCAAGCACTTACAATGCAAGTGATTGTGACCAAGCTTATCATAATTCATAAAAATATGTTTTTGTGGTAGGCTAATCAGCATCAGTGCTGTCGTTTAAGATGAATATGTATTGAACCTGCAACCTGGAATTTTTATTTTTTATTTTCTTCCTGGGGTCAAGGAAACAAATTCCAGATATTGTACTTGTGTATAAGTCCTGCCAGTGTCCAGTTTGCACAAATAATGTGCTGCCATCTAGTGTCCAAATGCTTTCATTGCACAACTGCTACTATTTAAACTGTTTACAGATCTTCATCTGACAGATATGACAAATGCATTGAATCAAATGAGCCATGTCCGGATTGACAGGAAAGATTTGCTCACATATAAACCTGCTGATGTGTTCAAATGAAGCCTGACTGGCCCACTGCCACAGCAGGCCGAACCACAGACATGTCGTCACCGTCACTCAACACATTCATTGTCAATGTCACTCAGCACATCGTTGTGAGTCAGGGATTTCCATGATTCATGTCTGTAGATGAAATAAGAGGAAGACAATAAATCCCTCCCCCTCAGCCCTGTTTGTGTATCTCCGATTGGACACACCTGCTGGTCTCCTGAAAGTCCCAATGCTTGATACGGCCCACGGCCCACGGGGCAGCCGGAAAGAGACCAAAGGGGATTTCCTCTCTATCTCCGTCTCTCTCCATAGGTAGAGCTTGCACTTCCTTCCTGTGAGGTCATAAATCTGTCCACAAGCACATGCTAATGGTCTAATATTAACAGTGTTTAGATTCATCTACTCACCTGAGGGTCTCATGCACTCATATTTCAAAAATCATATTCAAACGTTTACCTTCACTGTTCCTCACTGGTGGAATGATCTTTCCAACCATACCCGAACAAACCAGGCCCCATGAGCATTCAATTAAATTACTGTTTTTTATTTGTATTTAAAATAGGGTATAATGGGCCATCCACACGGTTGACCCATAATTAGATACTGAGCTTTTAAAAAAAGGATATGGCTGTGTTCAAACATGAATAGATAAAGTATCACAAGCGTCTAAAAAATACTTTGAAAATAACAGGAAATTTCACTGTTGCAGAATTTTGCATACCTAAAATATCTGGGTAAAAAAAATAAAATATATAAATAATTAAAAAAATATATATAAACACACACTGTTAAAAAAATTATATTTATTTATTTACATTTATATATATTTAAATTATATTTATATATATTTAAGTTATTAAAATAACATTTATATTATATTATTTATTTTAAATATATTTTTTAAATATTATAAACTTGTTATATATTTATAGTTTGTACTATATATTTTTACTTTTACAAATAATACTTTTCAATTTTTTTTTTGCCATTTAGCGATTTTTTTTTTTTTTTTTTTTTTTTTTTTTTAGTGGATTAGTACAATAATTTTATGTTGATGCACTCTCTATATTTTAAAAATATTTGTAATATATTAAATATCATTTGACTTTTCCACTTGTTTCTGTTCTAGCCTGTACTAATATACTAAGCTTGTTCATTTTAACCTTCTTACTTTAAAAAAAAAAGGGTATATTTTTAGTATTCTTCTCGTTACATGCTTTTTAAGCATTAATTGATTTGTTGTATTCCTCGTTTTTACGAATGCAAAATCAACTCACGCCATTTGAGATCATAAGTAATGTGGTGCAAATCATTTTGCTTAATAGTTACTGGCTAATGTGCACATATACTTGTTCAGACACAGACATGAATGAGATTTCTGTGTACTTTTGCTACCGAATGTCATCCTGTTATGAAAAGAATGAGCATTTAGCTCAGTTTTCCCAGAAATTAATAGAAGGGAACACACACACACACACACATCTGCAAACGTACTTAAACATTCTCTAAATTCTTAACCTTGATATGAAAAAGAGTCAGCGTGTTACTATTCTGCATATTTTATTACGAAAAAGAATTTTTACAAACTTTTTACTTTTGCAAACAACATATATAATTTTCTCTTAATGCAATTAACATTTATATGTACAGTGAGCACAGAAATGCACCTGTTTCCAGGTGATGCCGTTGACCGTTCTCGTGAGTGTGTATCACAGTGTGTTGTAGCCGTGTTGAGGCCCAGCGTCCTGTAGGTAACCCATGTGCCAGGGCAGGAGCGTGTCCCCGTAATTGTCCATATGATTCGGGCCACAAGAGCCCCAAACCCCTGGCTGATACGCCCCGACATCCCCTCTCCGTCCGTACCTGGGTGGGTTCGCCACGCTGCAAGGTGGGTACAGCTGGGCGTCAGCGGAGAAACACGGGTAGTGAGGGGACGGCGGACAAGCAGGGCCCGTAATCACGTGCTGCTCGGAGGACAGTCTGTGCAATGGGTTTTGGATGTGGTGGGTGAGCGGCTGATGCCAGGATAGGAAGCTTTGCGATGGCGACGGCTCCGCGCCGTGACAGTCGAGGTGTCCGCAGGGCTTCCCTGAACTCGCCGGTGGGTTGTTGGTGAGAAACACAGACAAAGCAGAGATTCGATTGATGGCTCTCTGGAGCGTGGCGATCTTCGACAGACGTTTCCCGCCCAGGTCATGATGCAAAGCCACTCGGAGCGCGTTGAAGGCCTGGTTGTAATCCATGATGCGTTTCCTCTCTCTCACGTTGGCCGCCACTCTGCGTGCTTTGGAGCGCACCGGCCTGCTGCGTTTCTTGCTCTGTCTCTCGTCCAGCTCGCCGAGGGTGGCGTTGGGGTAACACCCGGTCAGGCTGCTGCCGTCGCTGCTGTCCTCCTCGGAGAACTCGGAGCCGGTGAAGCTTCCTCTGCTCGCCATGGAGAACCCGCAGACTGTTTCCAGTGTCATCGTTCACACACTCTGATGCCTCTCGACAGGTCGGGCCTCTCTTTAAAGCACCTCGTTTAGGAGTCACATGGTACAGTCACCTATAAGAAATGCTGATGTTTATGAGCTCCCCAAGGCAAATTCAGCGACTCCCTCCTCAGACACGCCTTCTGCTGCAAGATCTGCACAACCACGTCGTACAGGCCATGGAAGAAAGAGTCAGACAAATAAAAACACAGACACTGAGGATGTTTTAGATATGCAGCTCATAAACTCTAGGAAAAAGTGATTTTTTTCATTCCAAGACCACTGTCGTCAGAGATGGGGAATGAGCTTTTGGTGCCTTTGAGTGAGGACAAGTTGACCTTGAATTTTGGATGGTGCCGGCACAGATATTACCAAGCAATGTGACATCTAATAGCTAGACAGCTAGACTTTTGCACCAACGCTTTTAGTGGATGGATGTACATGTTGTTTATTATGTACTGACATCGATTTATATGGTAAGGTCATTTATTTATACAATGTGTTGACCAAAACATGCAACAAGCAAAATATACAGTGTAAAACATATATCTACAATTCTCACCATGAAAACAAGCTATCAACACCATTGCAGTTAGAGTTACACAGAAAAGCCAGAGGAAAAAAGTTTTTTTTAAAGTGTTTTAAAGGATATCATCAATGAGGAGGCAGGCAAACTATTCTAGAGCCAACCCTGAAAAACAACGATCACCCCAAAATTTACATCTAGACTTTGGGACAGTTAAGAGTTTTTGGTCAGAAATGTAATCTATTATGTATCTTACATGCACTCTAAAAATACTGGGATGTTTTAAGCCAAATTTGGCCCAATATGGACAAACCCAAAAGTTGGGGTAAAAATGTAATGTAAAATATTTAACGCAATGGCTGGGTTTGTCCATATTTGACCCATCCATAAGTTGGGTTGAAACAACCAAGCATTTTTTAGAGTGTATAAATATATATATATATATATATTTTTAATTCTTAATTTAAGAATTAAAAAAATATATTTATAGACTCTAAAAAATGCTTGGTTGTTTCAACCCAACTTTGGGTCAAATATGGACAAACCCAAAAGTTGGGGTAAAAATGTAATGTAAAAATTTAACCCAATGGCTGGGTTTGTCCATATTTGACCCAAAGTTGGGTTGAAACAACCAAGCATTTTTTAGAGTGTATAAATATTATTATTTTTTAATTCTTAATGTGTTTGTTTTTTGCATATGCTGTATATGTGTGTTGTTATAATTCATAAAGTTCGTAAAGTAACACATTAGCTACTTTTAAATTCACAACAATGTCGGAGCTACTTTTTTCCAAATAAGTAACGCAAGTTATTTTGTTTTCCCAGTTATTGACTGACATGTTGAGAGAAATCATAAGTGCAGAGGCGTTGTGTTCGCTTATTGAAATGTGAAGTTGAAAACATGCATTTACTCGTCTCACTTGCACAAAAACAGATTAATATTCCTTAAAAAAAATGCAAACTCTCTTTAGTATTAACCAATGTCTTGGCTGCTGACCTTTGATGACCCAATTCAACAGTATACTAATAAGCTAAAAATGACTTTAGATAAACATACAAAAAAATTGTTTTATTGAAAGGTTTGTCCCTGTACTGTACAGGTGTGCTGTATATTCTTATTCAGTTCACTTTTGGTGTGAAAAGGCCTTTACATTTGCCAATGATAGAACTTTTTGTTATTAAAAAAGCAAGCAAGCCCAGCCCATGTGAGAACATACACGTAACACATTGCTCTTTTTAGGGAGTAACACAATATTGAAGCACGATACTTTTAAAAATAACTTTCCCCAACACTGATTAAATACATAAATGTTAGTAAAATAACAATTATACATTAAATAATTATGCATATATGATTTAAATTAATTTTTAAAAAGTTTATATATGCATAAGTGTTTTATATTGCATACCACTATTGTTAATTTACTCTGTTTTATTTTGTGCCAACTAATGATTTTTAGCACTTTGTGTTAGTTCCAATGGCTGAACGTGTGCTATAGTCTTCAAGGGCAACGTCTCGGTGTGTCTTGTGATTAATTACATGGGTAGTTCAATCTAAATTTGTCTGTTAGTGCTCATGACAAATTGTACATTGATCAAATAACTAGTATTTTGTGGATTTCCTCTCATGTGTGAAGGACTTGCGATCCATTATTTACATTTGTCCACGGATACAATTATCATCTGCAGTGTGCGATCTCAGCGCTGTGTTGGTGCTGGGCCTTGTGGGCCATATAATTTGAGTGTCTTTGTAACAAACCATAAATCAAGCCCGAACAGCACCCGAGGACAAGAACAGAAAGACACTCGGACTTCAAAGCCTGCAAAAAGAGAGCAGGTATTTGACAATTATAACATGGCTTGAGCAGCACAACACACTGTGGTTAGCGCTGACAGGGGGAACGCATATTTTGTTTGGTTTTGATCGATTGCATGATGGTCATGTTTCTGGTTGTGCAATGAGGAATCTGTTCTGTATCTCTACAGATCTTTGTCCTTTCGCTGCCCGCAGACTAATCGTGTCCTCTAATCTGAACAACAGTGGCTGCTGAGAGTCAATAGTTCATTCATACCATGGATAGCAGGCATCCTCCCAGTCTTTGCTGTACAATGTTTTTGCATTATTCTATCATGGTTATTTGGTTGTGTGATTGATAAACGAATCATTATGGGGCAATCCAGCCCGTCCTGTGCTCAGAGTTAGTGTAGGGCAGAATGAGCGGTCCTCTCCTCGTTTATGGAGGCTGTCTAGGCTGATTGACGCCATTCCCTAAAACAATTACAAGGCTAACAGTTCAGTTGGGCAGTGAGAGTGCAGTTGCTTCAGGATTACTCGTCTTGTAGACCATGAGAAAAGAAGATCATTTTGCCTTGAGCTTAATTTGTCATTATTAACTGCAAGGAAATATTTTGCTCTAGAAGTAAGCAAAAATGTCAATATAATTATAATACATTTTACAAGGGTATCGTTATCATTAACTAAAACTATTTTTAATAAATCCATTGAAATAAATTTGATATATATATTACATTGATACATTGATATATTTCATATATATATATATTTATAAACTGAAATAAGTCTCTTTAAGACTGTTTTTTTTGGTTAAAACCAGACCATTGTCAGTTGTAACTGAGTTAAAGCGTCATAGACAAATCATTTCCAGAGGGGCGTCACCAACGGATGTCGCGGATAGACCTAAAACCAATCAGAGCGATGAAGGAGATGACGTATGCAGAGTGGCGGAGAAACATCTCCGAGTGTTGTTCTTTGCTCGGTTTTTAACAAAAAGGAAACGTTCAAATCGCTTAAAATATACGCGATAGCTGATTCGAACCAGTGACGTTCGACGGCGGCATCCATCTTTGTAATGTACACTCTTAGAAGAAAAGGTTCTAGAACCTTAAAAGGTTCTATCAGTGTTATGTATTTGGAACCCCTAAAATGTTCTATACACTCTTTAAAAAAAAGGGTTCCTCTGGCTTCTATATAGAACCATACTTGGCCAATAGAACCTTTTACCAACAAAATGGTTCTATAGAACCATTTTGGAGTTCCATATATGAAGCGGGGGATGGAACCATTTCTGGTTCTAAATAGAACCATTTCTTCTAAGAGTGTAGGCTACAAAATCTGCTTCAAAATCCCAGCGGTGTCGATATCATGTAAAGCCCGCCCCAACGTTTCTGATTGGTGCCTCGATTTCGACGGATTGGAAATGGGCTCTTTGCCAGACTAACTTTCAGAGCAAATCTAAATTTCCCAGACTACAGCAAAAAACGTAAACGATCTCCGCACCGCTGTATACACACCGCACCTGGAACGGATCGGCGGACTGCATCCGCGTGCAGTCTCAAAGCTCTGATCCGTTAACACGGGTACGGAAAAACATACGCACCGCAAACGGAGTGTGTGTGAAACGGGCCTCAGAGATGTAATTTTTGACATGAAAAATTGATTTATTCTTTTCAGGTTTGAGGTGTCAATGCCAAAGCCAGTTTTAATCGTCGCATTAACAACAAGTTAGCACAATGAAAATATTTAATAAATATTTCCATTGAACGATCCTGGCCAGGAAGAGATCCGCTCTCCACTCAGCAGCCTCTTGATTTACGAGCGGCCCTGAGAGATTTATAGCCTCCCAGAGAGAGCACGAAATCTGCACCTCGGACCGTCCAAATCTCTCCCTTCTGACAGATGACAAGACACTAGCAATTATCAGCCGCCAAGAATAAATCAAAGCCTTTACTGCTCGTCCTGTGACGCCCTTAAAGAAGTAACCGTTTCCAGGGTTAGGGGGAACCTGCCGAACCGCACTTTCCTGAGATTTGTAAATCTCTGGCCTGAGCCACTGTAATGAGCGGTTGTTACCCACGTCTTATTAGAGGTCTGTAGAAAGCGTTATAGATATTTATTTCCTGAGGGACCATTACCGTAATGAGTGAGCACAGCTCCGTCCACTAACCTTGGCATTGCACTGGTATGTTAATGCATGTTTGCAGCACTTCCAGAGGAATTTTCACATCTCTATAAAACTTAGTTTTAAAAAGGATTTCCCCCTTCCTCTTAAAGGAGCTGTATGCAAGAAATGTATTTCAATTAATCATACATTTTCCCTGATATGTCACTAGACATTAAGAAATCATGTTCATTATAAATACTTTTTTTTATTTAACAGTTAGACATACATACAAACCAACATAGTGCAGTTGTGAGCAATCTTGTAAATCCATAATTCCAGCAGTGACTTAAGAGTGATTTAAGTGTTTGATCTAAGTGTGTATGTATAAACAAAGTAACCATTTATTATTTGTCATTACCATCACCATCCCACTCCCCACTACCATCATACTGCCAATATTGTGTTCGTAGATTTTTATTTCCATCCTTCCTCCTATGTAACAATTGCCATTGTCAATCTTGTATAAAATAAAATATGATATAATAAGATAATATAAGATAACCTTCCCCCA